TCTACCCACGACCCACGACATTCTACCCACGACCCACGACCCACGACTGTTAGCTAGTCCCTGAAAATTAAATCACGGTTGGATAATTTCAACAGGTTTGTCTCTTCTCCCGGGGGATGATTAAAAATTGTGGATGCTAATACGTTGTGGATGCTAATACGCGGAAGCTTCTCTATTGTGCTGTTGTACGACCTAGGCTTGAGTACGCGTCGTGTGTGTGGTCACCTTACTCGGCTAAACAACGTAAATTAATAGAGAACGTTCAACGCAGAGCAACGAAATTCATTCTGAACTACCCTTCTCGTGATGTTACCTACAGAGACAGACTAATATCCTTAAACTTTCTCCCACTTGAACACAGGCGTGAACTTTATGACCTAACACTATTATACAAAATCAAATACAACCTTATTAATGTCACCTTTAACCAATACCTTACACCTGCAACTAACCCCTATGCCACACGCAACTTCGACCCTAACAACTATAACATAATCGTCTCCAATAATCAAGAATTCTTCCGACAATCCTATTTCCCACGCACTGTCATTCTCTGGAACAATCTACCACCGAACATCAAAGCCGCCCATTCCCTACAGATCTTCAAGCACCATCTACAATCTTATTACAAAGCCAAACTGTTTACCTACATACCACCATAGTTAATCTTGTTCTATAATTCGTTGTACAGTATCCTATATGTTAAGTTCCATGTAATCTGTGATATGTTCGTGCATAATTGTCATAGTACGTCTCGTTATCCATTAATTGTTAAGGGGTCGAATATCAATTGGAATTTAGTTTCTGTTTTCTTCTCCTGTCGCAGCATTCTCTAGTTATTGTTATTGTTATCTCTACGTAAATGTATATCTTTAATGTGTGTGACAAAATGAATAAATAAATAAATAAATAAAATATGTGAAAATTATTTGACATCCCATGCGATTATGTTCCCCCTACACCCCCCGTAAAATACGAAGTTCGTGATATTAAACGTGTTCAATCAGGGGGGTTAAAAACAACAACAAGGGCGGGTATTTAAAAATTAAAAGTTATCTCGCGTGATTTTCGTTGTTACGCGTGAACAGGCAAATGAGTGCCGGAGTCATGAAAACATACCAAAATGAGCAGTAAAGATCAACTATTTTTGTTAAAACTAGAAAGTTGCGAAGACAAGAAAGAGCGGGATGATTTGATTCAAGAATATTTAAAAACAGTTAGCGAAAATTCGGATGGGAAAGTCAAAAAAGTGCCAGACTTTCCCGAAGGGTCAGAATGGCTGAATTTGAAAAACAACGATTCCTTGTCTATAAATGGGAATTTGCGAGGAAAGATTTGTGTGTTAGACTTTTTCACGTACTGTTGTATAAACTGTATGCATATTTTACCAGATCTACACGCTCTTGAGGCCAAACACAGCATACAGGATGGATTGGTTGTCGTCGGTGTACATTCGGCAAAGTTTGAAAACGAGAAAGTATCAACTAATATACTCAATGCTATTTTAAGATATGACATCACCCATCCTGTGGTGAACGATGCCAGTGCTTTTCTGTGGAATGCCATGGAGATAGTATGTTGGCCGACATTGGTCATTGTTGGACCAAACGGGCAACATTTGTTGTCATTGGTTGGTGAAGGTCATCGCAATAGTTTGATGGAGTTTGTGGATGCCGCATTAACATGGTTTAAGTCTACTGGTATGGGGATAATAAATGCTACACAATCAGAATTTAAAATAAGCAGTGAGATAAATTGTGTATTTCAACACATGCAAAAATGTGCAAGTTGATATTGACAAAAAACAGCTCAAAAACTTCAACTGTAGCCCCCTCTGATAGAAATCAAACCCACAATTCAAGTGCAGTGCTCTGACCACTTGCCACATTTTCTAAATGGCACAAGAAATTAGTTATGAGTAAGATACTAAACTAGTTTGTCATCGAACTTGATAACTTTATCACTGTTTTAATGCTACATGACATCGATCATCATTGATTAGGTTGAAGTATCGGTATTGGTATTGATCAAATTGCCTAGTATCGGATTGGTATTGTATGAAATGTAAAAAGCTGGTATCGCCCATCCCCTAGTAATATTAGGCTGGTAAATATTTGAGAGAGTAAATATTTCTGGTATAAGGGTAAATTAATAGTGTGCTTGAAATTGTAGTTTCTAAGAACCTAATTTTGAACCAATTTTTCTACAGATGAAATAAGCAATCACTTAATCAATGTGAGTCTAGCAAAGGATAGCCTGCCTAGAACCAGCCTATCATTCCCTGGCAAGGTATCCATAAAGCAGTCGGGTGACAAGGTGGCCATTTCAGACACAAGTCATCATCAGATATTAATTGTGGATACGAATGGTGCTGTTGAGACCATAGTGGGTAGCGGGGTTGCTGGTATGAAGGATGGTGGATTTCAACAGGCACAGTTCAATAGTCCCCAAGGTGTGACATGGAAAGGTGATTTAATGCTGTTTGTTGCTGATACTGAAAACCATGTGATAAGAATGGTATGTTTCTGTTAGTGACTTTTGTTATCATCATCAATTGAGTGAAGTTCTTTTCATTAGCTAATGAAACCTTAGTAGCTTGCTGATATCAGCAGTTTTATCTTCTATGTCCAGATTGATTTAAAGGCTAAAATAGTTACAACAGTTGCTGGTACTGGTGTACAAGGCAATGATAAAATTGGTGGTAAAGTTGGTCAAGATCAAGCTATCAGTTCACCTTGGGATGTCATCATTGGTCCATCACCAGGTTCGACTGCAATATACTGTATCACCTTTATCATTATTACATATCATTTATCCACTACATATCATTTATCATACCAACTTGTAGGTTCACTAAACATATCAGAAGATGAAAGTGTGTTATATATTGCCATGGCTGGAACACACCAGATCTGGGGATTGTGTTTAGCCGATACAAAATGGTTAAAACGAAGGTAATGCTCTATATTGTATGTGCCCAATTCACCTTTACGAGTGGGACATACAACTATAGTACTACCCGATAAACATAAGCAGAACTTTAGTTTTATCATCCTTCACACTGTAGCTCTCTGTTATCATCCCTACCTACCTTGGCACCAACCATTTGAGATTTTAACACATACATATATTACAATATCTTTTATCCAGTGATGAAAAGGCGTGGACATGCCTACGGTTCTCAGGCAGTGGAGCAGAAGAGAACCGTAACAATAGCTACCCACATAAAACTGGTTTTGCTCAACCATCTGGGCTGAGTATTGCTCGACCGAAACCTTTGGAATGTATGTTTTTGGCTGACAGTGAAAGCAGCAGTGTACGGTCTGTGTCCATCACTACAGGTGGAGCAAAGGCTGTGGTTGGAGCTGATAGAGATCCAATGGTAACATATGATTTTGTCATCCTAATGCTGTGATTAGAGACAAAATAGAGGAGGAATGTTGTGATATTTAATTGTATTGTATTGTATTGTATTGTATGATAATGGTACAGTAAACTGTGATAAATGTTAGAACAAAATTGAAATGGTATCCTATGGTATATAGGGTAGAAAAATATTGAAATGGTACCTATTCCCTACAGTAGAATATTATCTGTAAAGAAATGGAAACTTACCAATTTCATATATTCATCTGTTTTAGAATCTCTTTGCCTTTGGAGATGTTGATGGCAGCGGAATAGATGCGAAGTTACAGCATCCTCTTGCAGTTTCGTGGAACTCCCAAAATCAGCTGCTTTATGTTGCAGATTCTTATAATCATAAAGTAATGCACATCATATTAATAAATGTAAAATAAACGTATAAAAGAGTTTTAGCTTTTCTCAAGTATCATGGCTTGTCTTTTAACTCCTGGGCCCGGTTGTTCAAAGGTGCATGATTAGCGCGGACCCTCGGTTAAAATTTAACCTGCTATTTTGGATTGTGTATTTGTGCACGTAACATTCTTAGACACTCACCCCAACATTATAAACCCTCTTCTCCATATCTCCAGATCAAGGTAGTTGATCCAGTAAAAAAGACCTGCACTACATTGTTGGGAACTGGCCAGCCAGGATGTGTGGACGGCGACGCTGGCCGTGTGCAGTTTAATGAACCTGGAGGTCTAGCAATCAGTCCTGATGGAAGCACGCTGTACATTGCTGACACCAACAGTCATGTCATACGCGTGGTGGATTTGAAAACTAATACAGTTTCCACGGTGAGTATGGCTAATGGTAAAAAAGATTGTAAAACTTCTCAGTTAAAATGACTTCTTTTTGAATAGTTTCTTAAAACACAACTGTTTAAATCCTTACGTTTCACAAGCTATATGCACCATTCGCATCCTCAGCAACTTCTCGCCTTCTGCTCGAGTTTGTAATTGTTATTCATTTTTGAATTCCATCTTTAACTGTTACATTTCAGTTGTCAATTATCAGTCAAGTTACGGAGGTTGCAGATGGGGTTACAGATACAACTGACAGCCGTCAAGATGCTGCGAAATACCGAAGACTCGCACCGCACAACGCTAGCACCATAGACTGCAATCCTGTGGTTGTTAGCAAGAAATCAGTAGAGATACAGTTTACGTTTAGTTTGCCAAAACAATGCAAGCTGACAGAGGGGGTGAAAAGCCGATGGCAATGTACCTTATTTCAAGGCTCGATGAAGGATGGTCAGTTTTACACTATATTACATTAAGAACAACATTATTGGTCCAATTGTTGGTCCTAATATTTTTCAGGTAGTTGTATCCACCACACCACAGCTGCCTGTTATCGTCTCTATACCCATACTGGCAACGAGAGTGCGAGAAAGCTCGTGCAACACCTTTCAATATCCGCCAAACAAACCCAAAATGTATGACGGATTGTTGGGTAGATTATGTTGCATGTCGTACTAAACATCGGGTTGTCTCTTTTTAGATGAAGGTCGTATGGTTCACAGTGGAGTGTTAACATACCCTGATGCATATACTACCATGCTGGTAGAAATACCAACCAACACGGAGACACAAGTAAAGGTAATAATAAATGTATTTAGTATTTTTGCACAAGTGAACATAACAAATCCTACACGTTGATTGGTCAAATTTGACGTATTAAGATGTTATATTCACCTACAGGTGAATATAACAAAACAGAAATTTTGAAAATGGCGGCTATAGCCGTTTTGTGGAGGTTACTGATAAAGAAATAAGCGAAATTAAAATAAATTCAGTCCCAAAAACACAAAAGACTTGTGTAAAAATACAAAAACAATTATTCGCCTCAGGCTCGGTGATTATCTATTAAATATTTCCCGATGATCACCTCGCCTTCGGCGAATAATTGTTAAATATACGGCCCATATTAAGTATGTGAAAGTTTGCTTATATTTTTGCTAGAGATACAACAAGGAGCAAGTTTTAGTATTCTAGTGGACCATGCCTGCAAATGTTAGCGAGCCATATTATTTTACTTTAGGTTGAAGCCAAGATATATTTTTGTGAACCAGACGGCGCGTGCTACATGCAAGGCGTGATGTTTAGATTACCTGTTAAACAGCAGATGAATGGAGGTCAAGAAAATAACGAAAGTCCAGTGAAAATACACTATGACTGTGTTAAACCTTGAATTATACATCTAATATTTTTTTCTTGTAATATATAGTTCAAATGTTCGTAATGAATTTCACAAACCCGTTTGCAAACTAAGCATTGGATTTACGTTAGCTTCCTGGACAGGCATCTCTTGTCATAGGGGTCAGGGCTCGGGTTTGGAAAAAATATCTAGTTGAGATAAGATCTCACCCAATTTCTTCCGATCACTCTTAACTGCCCCCATATAGAGATGCCTGCGAAGGAGGCTATAGTTTTACGCTTTACGTCTACTTGGGAAGTTGTAATCTATAAAAATTCTGCTTATAGGTGTTGGATTTGATTTCATACCCATGCATAGAATGCCATCTCTATATTCAGTATTTACATTTCGACAATCCTTAAATATTCTTGTCTCAAGAAAATTTAAGGAAAAATTGCCATAAATATATGATGTCCTTCTTCTGAGAAACATTTATATATGAGCTATTTTCGCGAGCGTGAAATTACCTGTATAGTACCCAATATTTAAGAATACTAAAATCCCTGATATAAACACGATGACGCGCAGTCATTTATAAATCTTTGCTGAACTATGAACTTTGTTTTTATGTGTTGACTTCTGTAATATGTACATTTGTTTTTTCCATAATATATATATAGAAGGATCATGTGTGAGCATTAAGAAGTTCTCATGATTGTTTGATGGAAATGTCCGTTTTCTCATTTTCCAGTTTTTTCGTCCATCCTTCATTGGATGCCAACCAATGAGCTCTATAAATATCTGGAGCAAGAACCTCACTCATTCAGACTATGAGAAAGTGCAGCCAGTGAGCTCCATATATATCTGGAGTAGGAACTTGGTTGCTCAAAGTGAAGCAAGTTTCGTGTTAACCGCGCATACAAAAACAATAGAAAGGGACTGGAACTGACGTCCAATCACTGCGTCCAATAGCTCCTTCAATTTCCGCCATCTTGGCAAGGAGTGTGTTGAAATTTCGTATTTTGACTTCGATTTAAAGAATAATATTGTGATTTTATGAACTGAAAACCTGATTAGTGATACGGTCCATTAGAAAAAACTGGAATTAGCTGGGGAAATGGTATAAAAACTGTTTACGACCTTCAGAGCTATTGGACGTCAATGGCCGCCATCTTGGCTTCACTTTTCTCATTGACCGATTGACTGAAGTTCTTGCTCCAGATATATACTGTATAGAGCTCACTGAGTGAAGCCAAGATGGCGGCCATTGACATCCAATAGCTCTGAAGGTCGTAAACAGTTTTTATACCATTTCCCCCCAGCTAATTCCAGTTTTTTTTCTAACGGACCATAACTCTGATCAAGTTTTCAGTTCATAAAATCATAATATTAGTCTTTAATTATTAAAATCGAAGTCAAACTACCAGATTTCGGCACACTCCTGGCAGCTTCGTGTCCGACCGCGCAGACAAAAACAATAGAAAGGGACTGGGTTTGACGTCTAATAGCTCTTCAATTCCGCCATCTTTGGCTTCACTTTCTGGACTCGAATTCTCGCTCCAGATATATAGAGAGAGCTCACTGATGTTAACCCAACACCAGTATCACCAAGATACAATATTTTCCGATATAATATACACCGACGGGTGGCTGGTAGAAATGTCTGAAGGTATAAATACCTATTTTGCGCAGTTGATAATACCGAATTGCCAAGTACAGTATCAAAAAGGGTAAAACCACAAAGTCCAATACAACGTTCAAAAATAGTCCGCAAAAATGTTCGACAAAAATGAAATTTGATCGGAAGTTAGTCGGAATTTTTTTTTGATTACTGATTATTTTTCGAAAAAACTGTCATTTGGTAGGAAAACGTCCGCGATGGCCCGACAGTTATTGACACCACTTATCAGGAAGCAAAAATAAAAACCCATTAACACATAAGTCAGTTCGAAGTAATATTTGCACAGAAGCGAAAAAAAATATGTACATACACTGTCATACAGTACGATGGCCGACTGCAAGTTAATGTTCATGAATGCGCGCAGATGATGTTAATTTTTGCCGAGTGTTTCTCACGCAAATACGGTTGCAGCGCATACGCAGAGAAGACGCACATACGGGAAATGCGATCTTAGCACGGCCAAGCCTTAACCTTGCGAGGTATCTTGGGCATGTGTTTTAATGAGCTTACATAACAAAATTTCACACCAAATTTTTATGGCTACATTAGAACGTCGAGAAACTTTCCGTTTCTCAATAAATTATTACTCACTGTAAACATCGTAGTGATGGTGATTTGCATACCAAACATGGTTAAATACTTTCAGAACAAAGCAAGCTATGACAGTTTGGCAAAATATATTATTTGATCATTATAAGTTTTCTCCCCAATGAGTCATAAAATAGGTGATGTGAAATTTCGTTGCATAATTAAATATCTCTATCAGTTGTACAATGTGTATAGTTACTCGTTCACGCCATCCTCCTGTGGCGCTTTCCTGGCTTCTCCTGGCCACGGTGTCATAACTGGACTGCTATTGGTTAGCGGGCTGTTGCGAAATTCGTCCTCTTGATTGACGGCAGTTTCATAGCCCGTGTTCTCTAACCTAAAGCGACGAACAAAATGTTATGTACGCAGATGGTGAGAGCACCATGAACCTTGTTAGGCCTGGCGCGGGTAAAGGCTGGATGCGGGCTACAAGCAGATCATGTGTATTTTATATATATTATTATTACTAGTTCAAAATAACTCTTTGAAATGAACAGCGAACTTACGATGTTAACCTTGTGATAAGCCTTTCATCCTCGTCACACAACTCCCCTCCCATCAAAGAGGGTTCCCCGACCACCATTACATCTTGCGAAGTCAGACCAAAGTTCCCCACCGTCCTACTCGGTGATAGACTACTCTTCTTCTTATTTACAGAACTGTTGTGAGGTAGGGCGGCGTTCGGTGCGGACGATGACGTCGGCGTTGACGATTTTCGTTTTGACGGTCGACGTTTTGGTTTCGGGTTTGCATTTCCGTCTAAGGAGAAAAGCTGTCGTTAGCGCATGCGCATTTCACCTCTGCATGGAACCCAGCCTACGTACATCTGGGTGCACCTACCTCGTTTAGACGTCGATGTTCTTCGCTTGGTTATGCTAATATTGTTGTGTTGTGCAACCGCTAGAAAAACAATGAAATTTATTACATCTAATGTAGCAAGATTCAAAGCATGCAGTGAACATGACGTTTTGTGGACCGGCACGTGATACGGTTTTATCCAATCGGCAAACAGGAAAATTGAACATTGACACTTGCTATATAATAATGTCAGTATACAATCACTTTACGGTTTATAAAAAACCGTGTTAAAATTTCACTTTAAAAAACTTTCACTTTAAATTTCCGTGTTTGGATGGCCTGATCCAAACACGGGTTTCGACCAATCAGAGCACGGGTTATATACATGTTATTTTATAATTATAGTTACTGTAGGTTTCTTCATTACCTGGCCAAGGTATTTCTGGTTGATGATGGTTACTCTCCATACCTGCCGCTGCTATTTTGAAATGAAGATAAAGTTAGTTGTTAAATGAGGTTAATTTAAACAACATTTCGAACTAAAAGACGTTTGCACTTTTTGTGAACCTAATTGCATTGCAAATAAATTAAACTTCACTTAGAGACAGAGTCAAAAGTGGCGAAACATTTCAACACTGACGAAAGCATAGTTCAAAGTTGTGCATCAGTGTATGGGTGATGAAAGTATTCATCATTTATCAGAAAATTAATGTGATCATCATTTGCAGAAACCGCGCATAATTTCATGTCCTGCACACACAAAATATGCAAATGAAAGGAAAGAAATAACACTGACCCTAAAACAACACTGACTCTAAAACAACCCTGAACAGGCTGAACTCTAACACGACTAAACCAAACTTAACTGAATAGTAGTTCAATACCTGGCGAACCAAAAATTCTCCATCGTTGAAACAGCGTGGATTTCAGGCAGTCTAAATTTGACAGTTCAATGTTAACAACAAGTAAAGTACTATATATCAACCATCTCTTAAATGCACATAGTTTAATTATTGTTCATATTTAGCATGTGCCGCCAGGCCACTTGTACTCCGGATCCTATCACGTTACGTTTATTCAAGCTGCTCTTTGCTTCGACT